CTTAACCACAATGTGGTGGATTATATCAAAATCATCACCACCCTGAATATAGAACACCTGTCTTGTGGTTGCCAATTAATGAATCTGATATATATTTAACTTGATGGGTACCAGTGATTTAACCAATAAGCCTTAGCATACTTCACTGCTGCAGCCTCCTTTATAATTAGACTTTTGGTCTGATTATTATCACAACTTCATACATTTTCCTCTAATCTCCCGTTGGTTGTCAGTACAAATGATGCTGACATTAAATCTGTTTGTCTGTCAATTGCAAATATCACTACTTTTAATCAAGCAGTGTATCATATAGTGCTTTTCTAATCTCTGAACTAACTTTTGATTTCATTTTCTGATGCTGTTTATTTAATCGTTAAGTGTCTGAGTCTGCAACAGGCTGGGTATTGCCTTTCTTCAAAGTGAACTGAGGGCTCTCAGTCCCTCACAAAGGAGCTGAGTACATTTTATGATCAAATCCTAAGTACATAATAAACATGTAAAAAAAGCAAAGCTTCCTTCCATGGCTAATCACTGAACTTTAAATAATATTTATAATAATATTCTGGTTTATGACTGATAGGAGTGTCTTAATGTTTTGATGAAAAAAAAGCCTGGAGAACATCTTTATTACAAACAGAATGTTTATCTGATGTAGACAAACAATGAGCCTTACTTTACATGAAAAAATGAACTATTACAAAACTATAGCTGAAATATATATTACTACTCAAGAACTTTTGCATCATTTCATGCACAGAAAGCACCAAATATCTTCTAAAGAAAGCAGCACTTTTGATATTAGGAATTCAAAATGCCATCCAAATTGGTACTTAATTCATTAAGTAAGAGTATCTTTTAGTGGCAAATGCTACCTAATTATCAGCTTTAAAAAAATGTTTTACATCTTAAAATACAGTATTCTGTTTATCCTAGGTTGTCTGGGGAACATCCAGTACATTAAAAGGTTTTTGTAGAGCTTCTTAGTGATTTAACTGATATCATCGTGCCTGCTAGCAATTTTGCAACATTCTGAAAACACTTGCCATAAATCAAAGCCTTAGCAGCAGGAATAAGCAGATGGCAGGAGACCATATTAAAGAATGTATCAATTATTTTTATTAATGGGAGGCTACTGGATCATGATGTATCATAATGGACTCAATGTTTAGCAGTTGTGAAGTGTTTTGTCTGTTAGGTATCTCAGATGTTCTTAGCGGATGTTACTATATCATCTTGTGATGGCATTCTTTGAGGGACCCGATAGTGAAGTTTCACAAGGGACATATAAAGAGATGTTTTCATTTCAGCCCTTTAATTGTATTCATATAATAAACATAAAATACCAGCATGTATAAAATGTAATTTTAAAAAGATTGCATGTACAGTGCGCAATAAAGTACATTCTGTCTGCATACATTGACTTAAAAAACAAGACACTATATGGTTAACAATGAAAAATAGCAATTATTATAAAAATATTCTACAGTCTCATAATAGTAATGTAAATGCCTTTACTTATCTAAGAGACCTAACATAATTTTAAATTACAATAATTTTACATCCTCCATTCATATATACAGCCCTATTAAAGTCAAAAGGTATTATAATAACAATGTTCTTATTAAGATTAAATGACTGAATTATATTTAGTTATTTTACTATGTAAAGCAACTGTGTTCCTGTTTGTTAAAACTGTTTGCACTTACTGTAGCTTTTCACACTATTCACTCTATGCGCAACGAAATAATTTAGGTTTCTGTTCTTAGTATAGTATGCATATCCATTTCATGAATTAAACAGGATGTTAATATTTCAACTCCCTTTCCTTTTGTGTAATTATCTGTCCACTGTTTTGTGTATTCTGTAGCAATATGTCCACTAGCTTTGAACAGCTGCTACTGAAAAGATGCAAGAACTTCTCATTTAATACATCTTGACAAAAATAGCCAGCTCCCCTCACCCCCTGCCCTGCTTGAGGTCAAACTCTGTAAGTCTTTAAATTCTTTTCGAGGCCCAGAGCCACAGACATATTATGCATCTCTTTCATGAGATTTCATTAAACAGATCTCTGTAGGAAATAGCTAAAAAGTGTATTTTGCTTGCACGACATTTTACTCCAATAAAACTCGCATGGACAGAAAGAAATTCTGCCTGAGGAAGGAGGTCAGGATTTGTCCCGGTAGTCAGGCGATCCCTTTCCTCTGTGCAAGCCCGTAGGACCACGCTCTGCTCTCCCCTAACAGTCCTCTCAGCTTCACAGCAGCCTCACAGCAGCCTGGGGTGGGAGAGGGAGTGCTTGCTCCAGAAAGGCTGGGATACGCTTACCAGCACACCTATCTCCTAAATACCTTCGGTACCACCTATTCCTCCCCAGAACGTCCTAGATTACTGTTTCTTGCACCCTGTACCACCATTCACTTTCAAGGGTGATGCTGTAACACAGGTTAGAGTTATTAGCTAAAATACTAATTATGATGACTTCCTACTAGCCGAAATGTAATAGTAGTGAAACAACATTGCCGTCATGTACACCTACAGGTATGGATACATTTAGTGTTTTGGGCACGGGGGGATGGGGATTCTGTGTGAATGAAGACACCTTGAGCATGTTTAATGATAGGTTATTGCATATATATTGCAAAAGGAGCATTCACTATCTTCTGTTAAGTTTCTCATGCAGGAAGAGAAAAAAAAATCTGGTGCTTCAGACTGAAGCAATTGTCAGAAGAATGAAAATCAACTTTAAAAAACCTAATGGATGCACTATAATGTTTTTTTAGAACAGTGCTTATAAAAGTGATGAAATTCAGGATGTTATTTAAAGTCAATATAGTTCAGAAGTGTGGTCTAACTCCCATGTAAAAGTTCAATGGGAAAATCATGTAATACATTCATATTTAATTTCTTTTTCTCCATTATGAGCAATCCACACTGGTGTATTTAAAACTAATGTAGTAGAAACTGCAGTACAAGGACAAATGGCATTTGATATCAACCAAGTATCCCTTCCTTTCATCAGCTGAAATGGACAATACGCATCATACACGAGACATAATGTGGGCATAAACGTTACTCTTAATTCATCGTATTTTGTATTCAAATCTCAATATTAGCTAGTCTTTGGCAAAACTGTGACAAAGTGGTTCGTCTTTTAATGAGCCTAATTTATAGAAGCACTCAAATTAAAATGCTGATCAGCCCTATGTTCAATTACCTTTGGTTAATACTCATTCATCTTTCCATTTCTTTCCTCCATGCTACCAGAAAAGGAAAATGCCCAGAACCCTGTTTGTTGTTGTTATTATTTTTAACCAAGCAGTGGAAGTGTATCATAGCCTCTTCTGAGGGCTGGGCTGCCTGGGAATCCACACATATGCAACAAGAAGATCAGTTCTGCTCTGTTCTGCTTACATCCAAGTAGCTTGCACAGGCTCATAGAAATCCTTGAGTTTCCTAAAAACTTAAATATTCTTGTGAAACTGGATGCTCCATCATCTTTCATAGCCATCTGGATGTAATTTATTATCCCACTTCTAACTTTCCAATTAAGAAACTATTGCAACACTAGCTGGGCTGGTCAGCAATGGGCTACGGCCCTGGAGGAACACAAACCCCATAAGGACTGTGAAGAGGACCCAGGTACCGTTAACAGAAGAGGCGATAGGGCGAAACAATTGCTCTGTTCTTGGATAATATGTTTAAATAAATTGAAAACGTTCACGCAAACAACAATCCACTTTAATCTCTTCTTACTATTTCCAGTCCTGTGACACTCCTGGGGCATGAGACAGGCTTAGTGACAGCAAAATTAATACACACTTTTGAAATATATTTTGAATTGTTACAGAACTCCCTAATGTGATCTTTTGGCTTTGGTTGAGGAAGAGCTATGAAGAACCTGTGCCAGCTTATTTTCCCAGGTATTAATATTACAATTAGGATGATTGCACTTAATGTCCTCCAGGAACATACATCACTCTCCAGAATTTCACTATATATAGAAATTATATGCCTTCTACCTGCCCTCTAACCGCCAAGCCTTTACTGAGTCACCAAAACGCGTTTTCTGAACACCCCCCTCCCAGCAAGCTAGCTATGAGAAGCAGTGCATCACATCAACACTTCCGAATATCCCCTTCGGTTTCAAAAGTTTTCCTTTTCAGCTTTTCTGTAGTGAATCCAAAGCCAAATTTGAAATTAAATTCTTTTTGTTTCAAGTGTATGAAATGGGAATCTTGTCATTTCCCTCCATTTCCAAATGGATCAAAGGCATGCGTATGGATAGAGTCCCTTTGGAAAAACCTTACTGTGCTGCCAAAGGAAAGCACTGTCCAGAAGCGCAGTGTTGTGTCTCCAGATTCTGATCTCTTCCACACAAAAAAGGACACAGTTGGAATATTCTTGGAATAAGCAGCTGACATAGCACTGTTACCAGTAGTGCTTGTTTTAAATTGTGCTAATTGTAACATGGAGTACCTTTGTTGAGTCTTGTACATCCATACAGTCTTTCTGCTGAAATGTCATATCTTTTTCTGTCTGAGTTCGTTTGAGTTTCTGTCATTATGTTAGTTTCCATTTTTCTTCTGTATCATTAAAATATATATTAAAAGTCTGTTCTTTTTCTACAAATGAAATTTTTAAAAAATGGAATTCCATGAAAAGCTTAATGGATTTTCTCTTTTTAAAAAGAAGCCTACACAGTTTAAATTTCATGCTCACTTCACTTGTGCTAAAGCATTACTGTCTGTTTTTTCAGATTTTAAAACCTGTAACATCTTTACAGTTCCCAGCTTAAATAGTTCCCTGTTGCTTCATGTTTTGTAGGATTTTTAGTTATATATAAAAAAAAGAAATTAACAAATGACTCACTGCTTATAGCAGAGAAAAGTGAACACAGATTGAAGAGAGAGTTTGAATACACTTTTGTAACATGGATTTTCCTTTTGTGGTAACCATTTTCAGAGTGCTGTAAAAAGTCATGGAATGGTAGTAAAAACGTTCCCAGTGAAGAAAGATTTGTGCAAATGTCAGCTGTGAACAGAGGGTGTGAATCTGAGGCAAAGTGGTATGAGTTCATGTCCATCTATCTCATTTTCTTGTGAAGTAAGGGCTGATTTAAGCCCTTGTCATGTAGTAACTTCTCTTCACAGTGGCTCTCCTTGTTCATGTTTAAAATAAGCACAAACACCATGCTTATGTTCAACTCAGTCTTTTAGCAAGTGGTTTAGAGAAGTATGAGGCCCTTTCTGCTTTTATAAATCATCTCCATCGTCTGTGCTAAAGCTGCTTCTCCTGCTGCTCTCTTTCGACGCGGCTGGGGACGTGGAGGACAAGAGTGGGTCTGTTCCAAACGGCGACACCGTGTCATCCAGTAAAATTTCCTCTAGCCGTTGTTCTTCTTTTAAAGCTGCGCTGAAGGACAAATCCGTGAAGTGTGAAAGTGGATCAGAAAAGGCTGTAGATCCATCGCAAGCATCAGAGTTTGGTCCATGTGCCAGAGGCATTTGTTGAGAGTAGTCTACAGAGTTCTCCTCTGGATAAGACTGTTGCTTGATGACCTGTGCAGCTAAATCAACAGCACTGAGTGAAGACATGACTGGAAGGCCGTGTGCACGCGCTTGGATCTCTAGTTCCTAACAGTTCAAACAAAAACAACCAGATAATGACTTTAAAAGACAAAAAGGCATCTTCAGATTGCAATAAGTATGTGGCTTGTACATGCAAATTAATTATACATTTATATATATAATATATTTTGTCCAGTTTTAAAATAGATTGTTATCTATTAAAATTTGCCACTCCAGTGTTTTTATTTCTCCTCCTGTCTTTAAGAAACTGTCCTATGGGAACATAAGAGGTAGGACAGCCACTCTAAAACCACTGTGTAATGAACCCGATAAAGGTGAGAGAAAAATGTTGCAACTTTCTAGTTCATAATTCACTGCTTTCCAGAGAAACAGAAGACACTTTATTTGGTGACGTTTATGATATACAGATTTATGTGTAAATCACCATATATAAGATGACTGATTCTCTGCCTATCTATCTGTTTCACCTTCTTATGTGTCTACATTCCAATCTTGCATTTCAAGCCATGCAGGGCTATATTCTGCTGCTTCATGTCACAAGCAGATATAACATGGCACACAACACCCAAGGAAGTGTAACATGTGAAATGGTTACAAAGGGAAAATAAGAGTACTGAAGAGAATTTGGTGTCCGATATTGATTTTTTGCTGCAGGCTGTGAGAGACTGAATTGTTACCTTGAGCTGTTTGTCTCAAAGATTGTTAGGTGTGAGAGACTGGACTGTC